TGGGACGGGCAGGGGCAGGCAGGCAGCACACAGGACAGGCAGGGAGACCCCCGTGGGGACCGGCAGGGCCACCCCGGACAGGGAGGCAGGCGTGGGATGGGCAGGAGCAGGCAGGAAGCTCACAGGATGGGCAGGGAGAGGGCAGGGAGCGCTCAGGATGGGCGAGGACACCCCAAATAGAGCGCGCAGGATGGGCAGGGTGCAGGCAGGGAGCCGGGAAGGGCAGGGGCACCCCGGTCCGGCTCAGGGATGGGCAGGGTGCAGGCAGCAGGGTGCAGGCAGGGGTTGCGGGCAGCCCCGTTGCTCACCCGAGCACCCCGAGATGTTGCAGGCACGGCTCTGCCCGTCCAGCCCCACGCAGCCCGCGGGGCCCAGCCGGTGCCGGTGCCGGTGCTGCCACGGAGCCTGGCAGGAGCAGGGGGTCCAGGGGCTCCGGGGGCTCCAGGGGCAGGCAGCTGCAGGCAGGCAGGAGATGGGGTGATGGCGGGCAGGGACCCTGCCGAGACCCCTGACCCTGGCTGCCCCGGCACCCTACCTGGGCAGGGGCGCAGGTAACACGCTTCCACCTCCCGGCGTGTGCCGTGGTCGTGGCTGTGGTTGCAGGCAGGGCCAGGGGTCGGGCAGGGGCAGGCAGCCTCCCGGGTGGCCAAGCCAGTGCCGCAGGAGCGGGAACAGGGGCTCCAGGCACCCCACGCGCAGACCCCCGAATCTGGCCGGGGGCACGGCACGTTATGGCATGAAGCCGCTGCCGCCACGGTGCCCAGGGTCCCCTCCATCCCCATTTGGGGGTCCTGGGGGCTTTACGTCGGCCTCTCAAGCTTCAGGGGAGGTCGCGCGGTCCCGGCACCCACCGGGGATGCCGGTAATGCCCATGGCCCCATCCCCTCACCGGGGCCTGGCTGCGGGACCCGGCACAGGGCAGGCACCGTGGTGGGGGGACGCAGGCAGGTGGGGGGCACTCACCGGCACAGGGGATGTCCTGGCACTGGATGCCCTCGGGGGTGCAGGTGCTGTGGGGAGGGGACAGAGGTCGGGTGGGTTTGGGGGTGCAGCTCGGCCCCCGGCCCCCTCAGCCCCCCCCCGGCACTGACCATCGCCGGCACTCGCCCTGCGGCCAGCTCTCCCCCAGGCGCCTCTCGCTGCCACCCTGCAGGCAGAGGGGTGGGCAGGGCGCCGGCGTGCAGCCCCGGCTCTGCTCCTCCACCCCACCGCACTCGCCGTCTCCTGAGTCCGGGGTGGGGGTCCTGGGTGGGGGGACAGACACGGGGGTTACCCACCGCATTGTGGGGGCTGCGGGAGCTGGGTCCCGGCTAGCACCCATGGGGGTCACAGCGGATCCTGCCCCACAGCTCGTCCCCGGGTGCCGTGTCCCCTGGGTGCCATGTGTCCCCCCCGGGTGCCGTGTCCCCCGGGATGCCGTGTCACCTGAAGCGGGTCTGCCGCCCGTCCCCGCAGGTGACGCTGCAGGGTGCCCAGCGGCTCCAGCGGCTCCAGCCGCAGGGGGTCGGGGGGCACCCCCGGCGGGTGCAGCGCAGGCGGCCCCCGGTGCAGCTGCAGCTCTCACAGCCGTCGCGGCGGTGGGTCCCCGGCACCCAGCTGTGCCCCACCGCGTCTGTGCACTCGCAGTGGCTGGGGGGCACGCAGCCCCCGTCCTGCTCCAGGGTGCCTGTGGAGATGAGGCGAGGCGGGGGACACACAGACGATGGACACTCGGGGATGGGGCACACGCATGTGCCCCTGCAGACCACACGGGCACCCCCAGCCTTGACCAGTGTGGGGGGACCTGAGCTCTGCCCCCCCCCAGGGTGGGCTCCCCTTGGGGGGACACACATAGCGGGGGGGGACAAGGACAAGCAGGACTCACCGTTTGGGCAGCGGCAGCCGGGCTGGCATCGCTCCTCCTGCCCGCAGACCAGGCCCTCCTGCAGGTCTCGGCAGTGCTGTGGGCAGCGGTTCGCACAGGCCACCAACGCCATGCTGGGTGGGCAGCCCTCCCCTGGCAGACAGCACCATCAGACCCCCCCCCAGTGAGCCTTGCGGT